TTTATACATCTTGTAGAAATCGTGTTGTGCATCCTTTTTTCACTTTGAACAGATGTTATGAACCGAAAGATTATACAACTCTAAATGGACCTTTTAGTAGTACTGTCTGTAATTGAAGTTCTGTCTATGGGTTTTTATCAGGAAAGGGGCCTGGTCGAGTCTCCCTACATCCGAAGTTTGCTGGAGTTGGGATCTAAACATCATTGAGTGACGGCACATTCATCATCATCTATCTTTAATCATGAAACATTTAAAATAATGAATGATTTTTTTCACAATTACATTTTTTACAGCAGGGAAATGTCTGTAGCCAATCAGATGTCTCCTTCCTATTCAGCCAATCGACATACCCACCTTTATTTCAGTAGAGAAACGATAAACAACTTTCCATGTTTTTTTCAAACAATGCTAAACTTGAATCTCTCCTTTTATAAAGGTATATACACGTGTAGGAGCCATCATATGGCCATCAATAGGTAATTTGCAGTGGTGTGGTCTGTGAAGCCAAGTAATGTATTTCATTAATTGTATGTTTTTTTAAATTTGCAAACAACATCCGCTCATTAACCTGATTATATTGTATTCTGTATGACCTTGTCTGCTGCTGCAACGTCCGAATTTCTCCTATGGGGATCAATAAAGTACCATCCTATCCTATCCTATATCGTCACTTCTACTGATGACACTTTTCATAAGCACACAAAGCAACAAACATGGACGCTAGAAGACGTAGCACAGAGCTCCTTTGTGCTTCAGCGGCAGAATGAAGAACATCAGGTATGTAGTTTACATTTTTATTCATTTGAGGGTGTGGTTTAAGAAGAACAGGGGTGAGACTACGCTGCCTTGATGTGCTCCTCGGAAATGTCCCGTTTACGAGTTATGAGCACGTGAATGGCTGTTACTAACCTCAAGTTGAAATCATGAAACCAAGGTGTTCTTTGAGCTACAGGTATTCATGAGCATGTCCATGCCATCAATCATGCTGTGAGAACTAAACAAAATATACAAAGCATAAAATAAGAGAGCATCAAAAACATGTCACAAACACAAATTGACATATTTACACAATGTAGCTTTTTAAACATGGACTACAATGGCAGGCTGTCATTCATGCTATCATGATTGCCACTGTTTAGCCTGTTAGCCATTAGCTTTACTATTAACATATTAGCCATTAGCTTCAGGTAGGCTATAATATAGAAAACAACAACCAGAACACAACAGTTCACCTCAAAGGAAACTTCACTCATGGGTCAGTCTTCTCTTTATTAAACTTTTGAATGATACACAGAACCACTCTCAACATCCTCCTGTGATCAACCTGCCACGTGCTCTGCCTCTCCTGGCCAGGTGAGGAACACAACTCTTAATGATGTCCCGCCCCCAACCACAGAAATAACAGAAAGCTCCTCTTATAGAGATATTCTTGATTATATTAATGTTTTATAATGAAAATATTGTTTTTTAAAAAGTATATTATTGTTATATTTAACTCAAAATGAAGAACTTAAAGTGTGCAGGCCTAACTGATCCTGATGACAGCTATAAGGGCCATTAAAAGTCTTAATGAGGAGTGGGAAATGTCGATTATATCCAAGTTGTGAAGTTGTGATGTTTTAAGTCCTACATTGTAAAACTGTATCAGCACAATCAAAGCTAGTGAAATAAGTGGAATCATTAACACTGTTACACTAACATCACATTAGTGTCTGCTCTGTTAAAAACACAGACTGAGCAGTAGTCACACATTCTCTGGAAGAAGCTTCTGGAGCACCAGAGTCAATAATATTCATAAAATCAGAGCTATTTAAGAAAACACTTTGGGTAAAGACAACCTACTGAACATGGTTTATACATGAACTGGGTTCAGATCTGTTCTCCTGCAGCTTCTTCCTCTTTAATGTAGTCTGTGTAATGTGTAAGGGGTTAAAGAAGAAGTGTGGTTTGGTTGAAGGTCGCTGAATTACTTTCATTATCAAGCTGGTCGCACTTTGTTTTCTCCATCTAAAGGTAACGTCTATGCATGTTTTATACTTAAAGAAAGTAATTTATTTATTGTGTCCTTCTGTTTGGAAAGTTTGTCAGAAAATGTATAGAGGACGTGTTTTCTTTATTTTATATCTGTGTTTTTACCACCGCTGATGTTGAAGAGATACACCTGTGAGGCCTGAGAGATACGGATTGTAAACAAACAACATTTTTAGACGAAACTGAGAAATTAATCTGAGTTTGAGTGAACTCATACGGGTAAAGAATTCTTCATAAGCTTTATTTCAGTATTTAGAAGTTGGTTTAATGGTGTTTACTTTTTCATATCTTCAGAAGCTCGGGTACAAAATAAGAAACACGTCAGCAGCCTTTACGCTATAAAACCTAAGATAACATTTGTTAGTCTACATATTGATAACTTTTAGAAAACATTAAATTGATTAATATTAAAGGACAATTTGACGTCATTATTTAAACCTACACTTTAGTTTGAATAACTTTTTAGGTTAGACAAAAAGGTTTATTTTGGGTTTTTCAAGCCTTCATTTTAAGACAGGACAGTAGAGAGAGAGAGAGAGACAGGTCGATCACCAGACTACCAGCGCTTCCAGATGTTTATTTTAGAAGTCTGTTTAAATAAATAACTTTTAATAAATGTAGACTAGGCCTGTTGTACCATCCAGTGTTTCTAAATCCACAAACTAATCAGATGTAGTTTATTTTATTGTTTGTTTTTTAGACTTTTAAAGGGAAAATATGACGTGTGTTCTTGTTTTACATTTGAAATAAGTCTTAATATTTGTATATCTTCTGTACTGATTCTCTGCTCAGTCGGCTGTGAGCTTCATGACTTTAATCTGCAGCATTCACTGACCCTGACGGTGCAGGCAGACTTTGATTTATTTATTTATTTTTCAAATTAAGCTTTAATATAAACAATGTTTTAGTTTTTAAGTTGTTCTGAACTTGAAATAAAACACAGTCAGATCAGTGTGCTCTGTTTTAAAGTTGTGATTTAGTAAAAAAATATAATTCAGTACGTCTTAAAGTCCTTCTCTGAGAGCACCGACCTCCATTTGTGGAGTGGCTGAGGCACAACAGTTTCCTTCTATAATGATAAAGTGTTTATTTGTGTGTGTCCGTTAAGGAGGAAATGGAGAATCCTAACTCTGCATTTTCTTTTTCAGCCCAGAGCCGTGCAGAGACCAGACTCTGAAGAACTCAGTATGTCTGACTTACTGAGGACCAGGTTACAACACTGGCTTAATGAGTAAGTCAACATCATGTTATTAAGATTTTTAACATCTATATGAGTGAACAATTCTGCTGTTAGTGTTTGACCTGAAGAGAAAACAGCATACTTCAAATCAAAGTTCATCTGGTTTAATCCTGTTCTCTGTGCTGAACATATTCACAAAGTCAATAAAAACGACCTCCTTTCTAGATGATTTAAACAACTCGACATAGTCAAGAGAAAAGAGGAGGCTTCTTTTTAAAGAGGAGACATCCATTCAGAGCGAACACAATCTGCTTTATATCATATTCTAAAAGGAAAATCTGATGCATTCTTCATAGTTTCCCTGTAAGGACCAGTTGCTGCATGTGGTTTGATCACAAACAGTCAAATTAGAAAGGCAAACATTGACATTATAGCGTCATAAAGCAGACTCTGTTGCTTGTCAAAAAGGTTGAACCCCGGGTCTTCCACTTGGATGGCTTTAGCCTCCATACATGAGACGTTACGATCTGCTAGGTCATCAGTCACCTGTTTGTTGAACATTTTATAAAATGATAAAGAAAATCATAACCTCTTTTGACTGATTTATATCATATTTAAAAATAATCTGGATTTTCTTTGATATGAACTTTTTTCTGGTGAAGTTGCATCATAACCGTGTTTATTGTTACAGGCCCAACTCGACCTTCTCCCAATCGATGATAGATGGCGCTGAAGCAGCAGATGATGATAATGAGTCAGGATACTCATCTGTCAGTCTGTGAGTGAAATGTGCTTACATCTTATTCAGACTGACAGTTTTAAAAATATCAATATTTTGATGAGGCTTAACCGTATCAGTTAAAACTGACATCGAGTGCTTTCACACGGACTTGAGTATCACATTTTTTTATTTATTTTTTAAAGATTTCGTTTGAGGACAGATAAGTGGATAGATTTGGAAATCAGGGACAGAGAGTGGGGAGTGACATGCGGGAAAGGAGCCACAGGTCGGATTCAAACCCTCTATATATTGGGCGCGCGCACTAACCACTCAACTTAGTAATCAACAAAAAAATACAACTGATGTTTAGTGAATTTTTAAAAATCTACATATTACACCTTTAAGAAATTTTCTTATTTCAAATCTCAACACGCTGCTACTTTCATCAAACACTGGATGATGATTAACAACACACACATTCTCTCTGAAGTTCTTTGTTTTGATGAAGTTATGGATTTCCTTTAAATGTTTATTTTTTTTTCAAACTTGTTGTTGCTGTTGGTCCAGAAATGTTCCAAATAGTCAGGTTGATCAGGTTTAAAGTTCATGTAAGAATCAGGAGTTTATCATTCAGAGTGAACTAAATCAAGTCTTACTGGATCGATGTCTAATTTAGAAGTTTTAGTTTTTCATCTGTTGTTGTGGTTTGATATCTAACTATCAATCTTTCTCTCTTTTTCAGCTTTCTCAGTGATGACGACCAATCATCAAGTTCATCTGATCCATCCCTCCACAGTGATTGGTCAAATGGAAAAATGATTGCTTTAAAGAAACTAGAAAAAAGTGACCCAAACAAGTAAGTGTTTTCAACATTGAATCCTGACAGTCATGTTTGTACACACACACACTGAGTCTGTTTTGCTGCATGTTTAAAAAACAAATACAATCTCATGTTGAGTCGATCATGTTTGCACTCTGAAAACTTTCATCTGTCTTTATTATTTTCACAACAGGTTTGTTTTTCTGTTTGAACACATCTGACTCAGAGTGTGAGGTTCCTGTGTAACGTTTTGATCGGATTACAGATCTGAAAAACACATTTTAAAAAAACAGACTCAGTGTGCAAAGACCTTAAAGATGAAACAACCCCCATGGTTGATGTAAAGCAAACGCCATGCTCCTGTTTAAAAGATGTTGAAGTGATGTTGAGTTTTCAAGTCAAATGTTTGACTGAAACATCAACACCTCCTCTCTACTTTGATCCTTTGTGTCATTCATGGAATAAAGAAACAACACAGTGTTTAATGTGTTGCTCAGTGTCTGCTTTGCTCTTCATATTTCATTTGTAATAAAGAAACATCATCAATGTGTCTCTTGTTGCAGGTATCAAACATGGCGACTTCTGCAGAAACAGAAGAAACTCATTCAAATGCAACAAAAATGTTTTTTGGCCGACCTCCCACCTGATTAGTGAGTAAAATGTATTTACAACATATACAGTATGTATTCTTTCAGATGAAGCTATGAACATCATTTAAATGTTTTTTCTTCAGAAAGGTAAATTGATTTTTGTTTTCACATATTTATAAAATTATTGTTCCTGCTGGTTCAGAAATATCTCATAAAAAACTCAGGTTTGATTTCCATATGAGAAGCTGGGTTAATCATTCAGAGTGAACCAGATCAAGTCTGACTGGACTAATCTTGAAGTTTTTCATCTGTTGTTGTGGTTTGATATCTAACTATCTAATCTTTCTCTCTTTTTCAGCATTCTCAGTGATGACGACCAATCGTCAAGTTCATCTGATCTATCCCTCCACAGTGATCGGTCAAAAGGACAAATAATTAATTTTAGAAAATCTGAAAAAAGCAACCCAGTCCTGTAAGTGTTTTCAACATTGAATCCTGACAGTCATGTTTGTACACACACACACTGAGTCTGTTTTGCTGCATGTTTAAAAAACAAATACAATCTCATGTTGAGTCGATCATGTTTGCACTCTGAAAACTTTCATCTGTCTTTATTATTTTCACAACAGGTTTGTTTTTCTAACTTTTTTTGCATCCTTCCAATCCGTGTTCAGGATCAGTTTCTGTGTGTAAATTGGTGGTGTTCCTTTAATGTGTAGTTTCAGTATAGCTAGCAGCGTATCAAACTCTGACATCCTGAAATACACCTGAAGTGATGCTGATCATTCTGCAGCTCTTTTATCAACAGGGGAAACTCTCCTGGCTCTTGTCTTGTTTTCAGGAGTGGGTGGACCCAGAGGTTTTTATTTATTTATTTTTTAAGGACTGAAAGAATCACAAAGTCATCCTCACGGCTCGATGACTCCATTCTGTCTCACACTGACAATTTTCAGAATGAAGAGAAGAATGAACACATCTGACTCAGAGTGTGAGGTTCCTGTGTAACGTTTTGATCGGATTACAGATCTGAAAAACACATTTAAAAAAACAGACTCAGTGTGCAAAGACCTTCAAGATGAAACAACCCCCATGGTTGATGTAAAGCAAACGCCATGCTCCTGTTTAAAAGATGTTGAAGTGATGTTGAGTTTTCAAGTCAAATGTTTGACTGAAACATCAACACCTCCTCTCTACTTTGATCCTTTGTGTCATTCATGGAATAAAGAAACAACACAGTGTTTAATGTGTTGCTCAGTGTCTGCTTTGCTCTTCATATTTCATTTGTAATAAAGAAACATCATCAGTGTGTCTCTTGTTGCAGGGATCAAATGTGGCAACGTCTGCAGAAACAGAGGGAACGTCTTCGAGTCCGAGAACAAAGTTTTTTGGCCGACCTCCCACCTCATCAGTGAGTAAAATGTATTTACAACATCTACAGTATGTATTCTTTCAGATGAAGCTATGAACATCATTTAAATGTTTTTTCTTCAGAAAGGTAAATTGATTTTTGTTTTCACATATTTATAAAATTATTGTTCCTGCTGGTTCAGAAATATCTCATAAAAACTCAGGTTTGATTTCCATATGAGAAGCTGGGTTAATCATTCAGAGTGAACCAGATCAAGTCTGACTGGACTAATCTTGAAGTTTTTCATCTGTTGTTGTGGTTTGATATCTAACTATCTAATCAAGCATCATTAGTGTGTCTCTTGTTGCAGGGATCAAAAAAGGCAGCGCCTGCAGCAACTGAGGGAACGTCTTTGAGTCCGAGAACAAAGTTTTTTGGCTGACCTCCCACCTCATCAGTGAGTAAAATGTATTTACAACATATACAGTATGTATTCTTTCAGATGAAGCTATGAACATCATTTAAATGTTTTTTTCTTCAGAAAGGTAAATTGATCTTCATTTTCACATATTTATAAAATTATTGTTCCTGCTGGTTCAGAAATATCTCATATAAAAAACTCAGGTTTGATTTCCATATGAGAAGCTGGGTTAATCATTCAGAGTGAACCAGATCAAGTCTGACTGGACTAATCTTGAAGTTTTTCATCTGTTGTTGTGGTTTGATATCTAACTATCTGATCAAGCATCATCAGTGTGTCTCTTGTTGCAGGGATCAAACATGGTCCTTCTCCCACCTGATTGGTGAGTAAAATGTATTTACAACATATACAGTATGTATTCTTTCAGATGAAGCTATGATCATCATTTAAATGTTTTTTTCTTAAGGTAAATGGATCTTTGTTGTCATGTCTCTATTGTTCATGAATGTTTATTTCATATTTTAATTATAAAATTTTGTAAATAGACATTTTAAAGCCGGACCGTCTTCTCCTTCAGAGAAAATGACATGTTGCTTTATTTATGAACATTTTGGTCAACGACACAAAGTATAAATAACATGTTTCTTTGTACATTTTCTTTCTTACTCCATGCAGGATGGTGGAGATGAAGGAGAAAGAGGAGGATGAAGAGGAAGAGGATGAAGAGGAGACCAAATCAGTGATCTAAAAGTCTGCACTTTGTGTCTGGACTTTGGGCTGACTGGTTGTTTGAAAACCATGTTGAGTATAATGATCTGTAGCTCTTTTTGTGACAGCTTGATTTGGATACTTATGGATAAAACAAATGTAAATGATAAGATTTGTTAGTGACATAAGATGATGAAGTCAACTCAGCCTTAAAAACAACTGTTGTTTTCTATTATCTTACTGTCATCTGTGTACTCATTCTTTCATTTTCTCTGCTGGGATTCTTTTGATTGATTGAAGTTTTTTTTTCAAATTTGTATTTTCTTTTTCCCCCTTTGTTTCAGGATAAAAAAACAAACAAAACAGATCCACAAAAAGAAAAGTAAATAAGACAACAGAACATTTGAATTTCATGTTCGTAAAGAAGTGGGAAGAAGTGTGAATTTATAGAATCCCACCCCCTCTCCGTTAATCTGTAGTTAATAGTTGAACAGGCTTCCTTATTTAATCTTCATTTACGAATAAATAAATAACGAATCTGCAATACACATTTATATATATAAACCAATAAACATACAAAATATATAAATTAAATACAAATGTGTTTCTGCAAAATATAATTTCATCTATCATCCATTAAAAAAAGATAAGGACAGCACTCCAAATTTGTGTATTTAATTGCCAAACGAACGTTTCGAGCCGACGCTCTTCTTCAGCGTGTAACAGGCAATTTTTCAACCATGCACAGGTGTAATCAATTTATACTTGTCCAAGATGGACACACCTCCATCGCAGTAGAGAGTCTATCATTTTCTGTCTATCATTTATCAACCATTGACATATTTGAACATGTATTGATTTCTTTTATCTTCTATATTCATGTTCTTCTCCCTTAATTAATGATATAGTTTGTAGTAATACATTTAAGTTAGTGTTTTTTCTCCATTACCTATTTACCCTTCACCATACCTGTCAACATATTTACATATATACCTTCATTCCTTTTAGAAAAACTAACAGAAAAGAAAAAAATTAACAACCGTTATAATCACCATCATAACCACGCAGCAAATTTTGTACATTTTTTAAAACTTGTTTGTGCTTCAGCTCCACATTTAAACTGTTTAAAGTTTTACACCAACAATAGAAATTTGTGATCCGGAAGATGTTTTGCTTTATTTAGGATTGAAATGCTTCTTGACAGTTTGGCTTGTATTTGTTTCATTTGAGCTTTTCAGCTGATTCTGTGATCTATTGTTACCCCAACAAATGTGTATACATAAACTCTTTCAATGTTGACACCATCTATTTGTAGCTGTATTTTTGTGTTTGCTTTATATTAACCAAATAAAATAATTTTTATGTGATTCAAATTGAATGACAATTTATTTCTATCAAACCACTTTTTTAATTGTTGCCATTTCTGTAGTAATAACCTCTAATAATTGTAGATTCTCACCTGAACAAAGAATATTGTTATCATCTGCAAATAAGACCAGCTTCAGTTTATTAGAGACTTTACATACAGTATGTCATTAATGTATTAAATAAACAGATTAGGACCCAACACTGACCCCTGGGGGATGCCACAAGCAATGTCCAAGCATGATGATTAAAACTCCCCCAACTTCACAAATTGTTGCCTACGATACGATCCCCCTGATGCCATATCGTTCTAGTTTATTGATCAGTATTTCATGATTTATTGTGTCAAATGCTTATTTGTAGTCCAAAAATACCCCAACTGCTTTGTGATTTCCTCTTGATTCTATTAATGCGAATGATGTTGAATGGTTTGTCTGAATCTGTATTGTACGGTGGCTGGGAAGTACAAACCAAAAGACAAATTCACTCTATGGAAAACATTTTATAAAACAAAATTACAAAAGCAAAACACCTTTTACCAAGGACACAAATTATTTACATTTCAGAAAACAAATTTAAAAGGTGTCAAACACTTTTACGAGCGCTGAGAGGAATTTACAAATGCCAGAATCTTGATGGAAAGGGAATGTACCAAATGCCAGAAGCGGTCACTTAACCTGTTTTCACATATGCAGACTATTCCTGTATCACAATGTCAACTAAAGAGTGAGAACAACATACTGACAAACAGAAAACTTAATGCAGTCGTTTAATTACCTGCATGGAGATCGTACGGTGTATACACTTTATGCACCGTGCAGCAGTCACAGTATACACGTCACTCCCCCCTCCCATTGCCTCGAGGTGAATTCTCCAGAGAATATCCTGCTGCGTTCTCACATCAGCTGACTTGGATTTGCTGTGGAAAAAAATACTATGGTGTGTGGCAGGAGAAAGTGTGTAAGCCTTTTCCTGTCTCTCTTCAGCTGTCCTATCAAATAAAGGTAAATATGGCCCAATAGACTGCGTTAAACTTTGTTTTGTCCTTTGTGAAAGTGTTTTCCTTTTGTAATTTTTAATTCATAAAATGTTTTCCAAAATTTAAATTTGTCTCCAGCTTTGTAAAAGTATTTCACACTTACTTTTTCAAGTAAGCAACAGCCAAATAAGTGTAAAGTATAGCTGTATTAAGTGGCATAAATGAAGAAGGAAAAACAAACAAAAGAATGGATAGGTATAGGTAGTGCTAGTAGACTAAATTACCTCAAAACTGTACTAAAGTTCAGTATTTAATTAATGTTAATTTAGTTTATAGTTAGATTTATCAATAGCTGGATAAATACACAATACGTGAACCAAAGCGGAACAAATACATTACAAATAAACCAGAGGAAAGATATTTTTTTATGAGTATTTATTCCATAATCCTGTCCTTGTCAATTTATCTGAACTGTTCATTTAAAGGCAGCGACGTACGAAGTCCCATTGCCTGAGCGGGGGATTCCGCTTGCGGTTATTCGCCGTTTATATGCTTACAGCTTTCATGCAGAGACGATTTTAAATCAAGACAACACCCAAAATAAACCCGAAATCAAAACGCTACTTTGAGTTTCTAAAAGTGAACCCACTGAACAAAGATTGCTTAAATCGAAGTACATGTTGACAGCGCGCCACCCCTCCAAACCGAGTTGGTCTCGCCCGAGTCTGCCCAGCATCAAACGCACATGTCGGGTGTGTTGTGCTGAGGATTGCGGTGATATTACAGCATTTAAGTGAACCGTTGCGGGCTGTCACGTTGCTGTGTGCTCTCACAATGCGATAAGCTTCTCGGCCAATGATTAAATAAATCATTAAAATCAGGGTTATAGTAGAAAACACTTTGTGTAAAGGAGCTGACACGCTAACCGGCGTGATGCAGGCGACTGCTGTTTGACTTCACCGGACTGAAGGTTTGTACACCGTCACCACATACCTGTCATTATGAGCGTTTCTAACTACATGTGCAATACTTGTTACATCATGAATATGTCGGCGGGGAAAAGGGCTTGTTGAAAATGACTCGTCTTTGGCTTGGTAATGTAAAAAAAAAAGAAAAGCTGAGCTAGCCACCTGGTGCTGAGCAATGCCACGTAGCTAACCGGCTAATGGGAGCAGACAGCCCCATTAGCTTTTCCACAAGTGTTTGATAACTGCATTTGAGGGATCGACACAATAAACGTGTGTTTCTGTATCTATCTCGACAATCTCGTGTGTGTGTGTGTGGTGTGTGTGTGTGAGAGAGAGAAAAGGGGGGAAGATTACTTCGTCCCACGTGGTCGCCCTTCCGATGGCGCGCACCTAACAAAAACCTAAATGTGGCCTTAATGTCTAAAAGAGACCGAGTTCGGCCCTACACGATCTGTGTCTCTGAGGCGTCTGGATAGTCGCGAGTGAATAGATCTCTGTGCGCGGAATGGCGCGGTGGGTGGAGTTGGTCTCCAGATGTACGTTTACACAGGAATATGTGTGTGTGTGTTCGTAGAAGGGGAAATAAAAGAGAATAAAAGAAATAAAGGAGAAATGCGTGCCTGAAGAGGCCGGATCACAGTCCGACTCCCGCGTCACAACTCGGAGTAATTCCCTTCACTCACAGAAACAAACATAGCCGAATTCAAGTTAATACGGCTTACACTGGCCTTTCTGATCAGAAGAGTAATACCCGATTATAACGCGCTTACGCTAAACACATATGGACGCAGAGGTCCGAAACAACAACAAGAGTTTTAAACAGGTAAAACTCAGGACGCAGGTCCAACAAAGATAAAAATTACAGTTTCTGCTTCGATCAACAATTGTTAAAACACTCTCTAAAGCTAATTCTGCCCAGACCTAATTAAGCCTCACTTGTGAATCGCTTTGTCTGCGATTGGTGAAAGGAAAAGAGTCCGGCGATGGAGCAGATCTTCTGTCCGTCCTGGTGCAGAGGCGTCTGATGGCAGCGAGGGTCCTTACGGCGAGAACGGCTTCGATGTGTCCGTCGAGGAAAGATGTCCTTTGATGTCCTTTCGTTGCAGGATGAATAAGACCGTTATCGTTCTGATAATCTGTTATAGTCTGACGCTCTCCGAGAAACTGAGATGCGTTCACTGGACAATCCGAGCTCGGAATTTAGAACACTGCCAGCCGCGGATTACCTGTGCGCCAAAAACTTAAAACAAAGGAAGATTGTTGCAGAAAACAGGAGGTGAGCTTGTGTCTCCGAGCACTTGAAGTCAGCGTGTGAAAGAGGAAGAACAATGGAAGTCTTGGAGTTTTGAAGCCTGGCCTGCTCCATGGGCGGTCTACCTCAGGTCCCCTCCAATGAGGGAGAGAGGTTCCGGTCCCCCTTACTTCACGCATACGTGTGAAGTACCGCAGGGATTATGGGATTAAGAGTCCTTTTTAGGCCTCTTTGTGATCTCAGTGAATAACTCAAAGGAGGCTTTACAGAGTGCAGGCCCAAGTCCATTGTTTGACTGTCCTAAGCCTGCGTGGCCAGCCCAGATGTGTTTATTGCAATTCCTCAATAATGATGAATTTGTGATTAAGTGCACAGTTGTAGTTTGAGCATAAATTTGAGTATGGAACGAGCTCATATCTTTCTTTCATAGCTTCATTAAGTGATCACAATTGAAAATACAAGACAATACAAAGGGGTTTAAACCGGGCAGAGCATTAGAACAGTGTTAAAAAAAACAATAAAGAATTTTCTTTTCCTCATCAGGCTTTGGGGCTTCCTGCCGTGCGACACCATGAGCTCCAGGGTGTGTAAGAGCTGCGGCAGCTCGGACATCGATGTTGACCAGGCGCGTGGAGATGCGGTCTGTATGGGCTGCGGCTCCGTGCTGGAGG